CGAATGTCATTGTGTAACTGGACCCTAGCCCTCACCCAACCAATCAGGTTGGGTGATGCCAAAGCAGTGATATCACCACCCCTATAAACCTCCTTGATCTGTTGAAGTTTGTTCTCTTCCACCACGTCACTGTTGGTATAAGTGGGACAGAGCCCATGCTATCATGGAAAACAGGCTTTCTGCTATTGCATTGGACGCGGCTCTCTGGTAGACTTTGGGGATCACGAAATCTGGGCATAACATTTGGGGGCTGGTCCGGGATCCCCAAGACCCTGAGGGACCCTGATCTGGAGAGCCTGACTGGCAGTGGTAGGTGTGTGTGTGTCTGTGTGCTTGTGTGAGCTGGCTCTGGAGGGACATGGAATCCCCTTCTTGTGAGCGCTCTGGAGGGACGTGGAATCCCCTTCTTGTGAGCGCTCTGAGGGACGTGGAATCCCCTTCTTGTGAGCGCTCGGAGGGTGTGGAATCCCCTTCTTGTGAGCGCTCGGAGGGTGTGGAATCCCCTTCTTGTGAGCGCTCGGAGGGTGTGGAATCCCCTTCTTGTGAGCGCTCGGAGGGTGTGGAATCCCCTTCTTGTGAGCGCTCGGAGGGTGTGGAATCCCCTTCTTGTGAGCGCTCGGAGGGTGTGGAATCCCCTTCTTGTGAGCGCTCGGAGGGTGTGGAATCCCCTTCTTGTGAGCGCTCGGAGGGTGTGGAATCCCCTCGGGTCGGTGGTGCCCGAAGAGGTCTAGGTGGATGCACTGCTGGAGGACCACGGGCCGGAGATCCGGAAGACGTTCCGACCTCCCAGAAGGGACACGGAATCCCCTCACAGGCAGGGAGATGTGGAATCCTCTCCCAGGATTCCGCCGATCCACGTGAGGCCGATGTCTGGCTTTTCTTCTAAGGAGTTGAAACGTTGAAGTTGGGCGCCCTCTTCTTATTGGTTGTTGTGATTTTCTGTGTTGTGGAGGTCCGGAGGGGCCGATGGCAGACTTGTTGTTCTAGTGAGTGGCCAGCTTTCAATGTCGGATGGCCACCAGAGGGACCGGTCGGTGTGAGGCCGATATCTAGCTTTCAGTTTTGTTTCCTCGGAGTTGGAAAACTGTTCTTAGGGACCCTCTGTTTGTTTCTGTGGTCTCTGTTTGGATGTCTGTATAAGTAAGGGTTTCAGTTTGCTCTTGGTTGTAAGTTTGCTATATTAAATTGAATGGAGGAAGGGGTGGGCACACCCTTCCCCGCTAGAACAGGTAATTCAGTTTCCGCCTTCAGCCATCTCTAAAGAATGTGTTCATTTGCATTTAAATGGCTAGACATTTTGCTAGCAAAGGGACAAATTTACATGTGAATACCTACAAGTTTGCTTCTCAGTTTCCCCAGGTAGAAAAAACATGGTTTAAAGTTAATTGTTGGATTTTGGAATTTGTTCTTGGAAATATAAAGGTTTATTAATGGGGAGCTGCTGGATGTTTGACTTGTGAGCTCTGAAGGTTTTGGGATTCGGATTGAATTGGGAGAAGTTATATAATTGTGGTAACTGAATGCCTAGAGTATAGCAACTTGTTTTTGAGAAAATAAAATGTGTTTTCTCTTAAATAATTAAAAATTCAAGATATATTACTTGTTTGGTCTGATTTAAAAAAGAAAGAAACCTTTAATTTGTTTGAGGCTGAGTGCTCTAACACAGAGCAAACCGCCCCAAGTGGCCACTGGAATACCTTTTTCCCAGGGGTGCTTGCTCTCTGTCAGAGGGGAATTGGCGCACCTAACAAAATGTTTAAGGTATGAAGTTGTAGCAAGTGGGGTCCAAAAGGTTAAAAGCAGGGACCAAATTCTAAAGTTAACTACTGTTTGTCTCAATTGGCCATTTAAGTTTGATGTGATTAGTGATTACAGTACATTGTAAAATCTTTAGAAGAAAAGGAAAATATTTTGTGGGCCACTTGGTCCTGGTGTGTGTGTGTCAACTTCTAAGTTATAGTTTTAAGATCAGTAATATTAATGGAAATACCCTCAAGCAGAGTGGCTTTTCAGAAAGGTCAGGGAGTCTGATTGCAGTGTAGGGGTTGCCGGTTCCCCTACTAGCAGGAGGCAAGCGCTTTTCCCAGTGGGAACAGAGGCAAGCGCTTTTCCCAGTGGGAACAGGAGGCAAGCGCTTTTCCCAGTGGACTGCCAGATGGAAATGCCTGGATGGGAGCACCTCCTTTGCCACCTGGAACCCAAGCCACGCTCCCTGCCTCCGCCCACCCAGCGTCCATCCCTTCCAGGGGTTGTTTGGAGTAGAGACCAGCCCTGTGTCCGGTTCCAGAAGACACTGGCCATCAACCCTGCCAGCCTGCTTCCAGATGACGATCCAGAGGTACCCATTCGTGTCTGCATAGAGGTAACAGACGCAGTACTGCCAGATGAGGCACTGTTCACGGATGGGAGCAGTTACGTTCAGGGTGGGATCTGATATGCAGAGGCAGTGGTAGTCACCCTGGACCACACCATTTGGGCACAATTCCTGAACTTTTGGCCTCAATCCAGGCCCTTTGATGGAGACACTGTGCCATTTACAGGGAAAAAGGGTTACCAACAAGTCTTAGTAACCCTACCGGGCTCCGACATACGATGGACCCCCTCCTACACAGAACAAGAGGAGGAATTGGCAGAACAGAAGCAAACCATCAAAGGACCAGATGGTTGGTGGACCCTACCAGATGATAGATTGTTGGTCCCAGAGGCTCTAGGTCAGACGTTAGTTGCCCAGTGACACCAGGTTCCCAACTTAAGCATTACCAAGACTTCTGAACTTCTGTGAGACAGATACTACCAAGCTTAGATAAGGTAATTAAATCCTAGTTGCTAGAAGTACTATCTGTGCACAGGTAAATGCTAAGTCAGGTAAGAGGGGCCCCCTGGGAATTCTGGTCCCAAGGAAATTCCCTAAGAAAGCACTGGGAGGTGGATTTCACATAGATTAAGCCACCAGCATTAAGGTACAAGTACATGCTAGTTTTTGTAGACTTCACATTAGGTTGAAGTATACCCCCACTAGGACAGAAACTGCCTCTATAGTAGTCAAGAAATTACTCTAGGAGATTATACCTAGATTCGGGCTGCTAATCATAGGATCAGATAACAGCCCCACCTTTGTAGCCAAGGCATCTCAAAGTAGAACTCAAGCCTTAGGACAGGCATGAGCAGGACTCTAAAAAGTTTAGATTTGTCCTAAAAACTGGTGAAAATTGAACCCTTCGCACTCTTATGGACTAGGTGTACCCCCTACTGGGATGGGTTCCCCCATTTTGAGATCATGTAACTATTCCCTTGCTCAAGTCTTTACAGACTCTGCAGTTTACCCAGGGAGCCACCCATAAGCTTGTTCCAGATGCACTGACAGTGCCCACCACAGACCCTGTACACCCCCTCCAGCCTGGAGACTGAGTGTGGGTAAGGAAGTTCTCTGCCCAAGGACCTGAAAGGGACGCTACACTGTTACCCCGAGCACGCCCACGGCTGTTGAAGTAGACGGCACCCAGACCTGGCTACATGACTCCCAGCTCCTGCACCAGAAAACGGCCTGGATCCTGGCAACCAGCAGCCTCACCCGTGAGATCCCCAGCCTGGGCTCCACACAGGCCAGGAGGAGACTTGATGCCTGCAGGAGGGGAATTGGACTTCAGTGGGGACAGTATTGATGGGGACTGTGGTACTAAGGGTCTTGGTAACTGTAAGAACGTTTTTAAACAGAACAGAGAATACCCTTAAAGGAAGTGGGCTGAGTCAATGATTTCACTCATGCACATAAGACAAGGGGGGAATGAAAGGGCAGGGCAGGGCTAACTCCTGATCCTCCATTTCGAATGTCATTGTGTAACTGGACCCTAGCCCTCACTCAACCAGTCGGGGTCAGCCAAAGCAGTGACATCACCACCCCTATAAAACCCCCAGATCTGTTGAAGCTCGCTCTCTTCCGCCAGCCACTATTGGTGTTAAGTGGGACAGAGCCCACGCTAGCATGGAACACAGGCTTTCTGCTACTGCATCGGACTCGGCTCCCTGGTGGACTTTGGGGATCACGAAATCTGGGCGTAACACTTGGCACTTCTCTATAAATCGTTTCAGTAGCGTGCTCCTTCCCTGGGGTATTCTCTTTATAAGAACATACTTAAAGTTATGTAGAGACGATAAAGCTTTCCAAGAATACTTTGGCAAGGTGCTAAAGTATAAAAAATACAGGTCTAGGAGGGTGGTGTTAGCCTTTGGGACGCTGTTGGTGTTCATAATTGGGGGAGACAAAGCCTTTACTATTCAAAACGCTGTCCACGTTCAACAACTAAAATTTTTTCACTTTCCAAGCCCAGGCTGTCGTGTGTGTGTGTGTGTGTGTGTGTGTGTGTGTGTGTGTGCGCGCGCGTATGTGTGTGCATGTGAGTGTATGTGTGTATATATGTGCATGTGTGTATACGCGTGTGCATGTGTGCATGTATGTGCATGTGTACCTGTGTACGTGTGTATGTGTGTATACGCGCGTGTATGAGTGTGTATATGCATGTGCGCACGTGTGTATACGTGTGCACATGTGTATACATGCGCATATGTGCATGCGTGTGTATGTGCACGTGCGCATATGTGCATGTATGTGTGCATACGTGTGCACATGTGTATGTGTATATGCGTGTGTGCATATGTGTATGTGTATGTGTGTGTATGTGTGTGCATGTGCGTGCATGTGTGTGTATGTGTGTGTATGTGTGTGCGTGCATGTGTGTGTGTGTGTGTGTGTATGTGTGTGTGTGGGGACGGGCTGGCTTCCAGCGCGGGCGGCTCTCCGGGGCCGGGCGGCTCTCCGGGGCGCGGGCGGGGCGCCGGGCGGCCCTGCAGGTGGGACCCCGCCCGCGGCGCCGGGCGGCGGGGGGAGGGGCCGGCCGCAGCGCCGCCCTCCCATCACATGGCCGGGGCGCCACCAAAACAACAGCTTGGGCCGCGGCGGGGATCAGGGCCGGGCAGCCGGGTCCGGGCCGCCGCCCCCGGCCATGGAGGACGGGCTCCTCGAATCCTTCGGGAGGCTGAGCCTCCAGCCGCCGCGGCCACGGCCGCCCGCCCCGCCGCCCCCGCGCGGGACGCCCCCGCGCCGCCCCGGCTTCCGGAAGCACCTCTACCTGCTGCGCGGCCTCCCGGGCTCGGGCAAGACCACGCTGGCCAGGTAACCGCCGCCCGCCGCGTCCTCGGCGCCACCGCGGGGCGCGGGCGCGGGGCGGGGGCGCGGGCGGCAGGTCGGCGGCCGCGGGCGCCGGGTCCGCCCGGCTCCGCGCGCTGGTCGCCGCCGCCGGCACCTGAGGCCCCGCCGCCTCCCGGGCCTGCCCGCCGCCGCCCCTCGGCCCGGAGCGCACGGCTCGGCCGGGACGCGGCCGCGCGGGCCCCTGGCGCTGTCGCCGCGGTGGCCGCGCGGCGTGCGCTCTGCCCTGTCCGCCCGCGCCAGCTCCGGGGGGCAGGGCCGTGCCTGCTCCGCGCGGTGTTCGCAGCGAAGAGGGTCCCTGGTCCTCAGGGCTTCCCGCCCCGCGGAGAGGTGAGGCCAGAGCGACCGGAGCCTCGGCACCCGGAGGCGGTGTGGCTGGAGGGGGTCCGGAAGGGTGGCAGCCTGGTGAGGTGTTGCCAGTTGTGGTTAAGATTCCCAGCTCGTTTGTGGAGCAGAAGCCGTCAGCAGAACAATGTTGCTACATTTTCAGGATTAATGGGATGGGCGCCTTCCAAAGGCTGTCAGCACCTTAACTAAGAAACCGACTTCAGTGGGTTCCTGTTGGGGTGGGGGCGGAGGGTGCCGGGCGGGGTGTGGAGCTCATTGTAAGGGGGCGGGGCGGCAGGGGAGGGACCCCCTGTTCACAGGGAAGTATCGGAACTTCTGGATTCAAATCCTGCTTAGTTTCACTTTGGCTTTGCTGGTTTGTGGGCTATCACACACTGAGTTTTAAAGAAGGAAGTAGTGTCTTTGTCCGTATGGTGTGGTGTTTAGAGTTGCTCAGGGAAGTCCTAGGGTGTGTGGAGGCAGGCAGATTTGACCACCAGAACCTGAGTTTTGGGCTTCACCTTCCTCATCTGTCAAGTGAGTGACTTGGCCGTACTGGCCTTTAAGGCCCCTTGTGGCTCTAACATTCTACACTTTGGGGATTTAAACTCCTGGGTGAAGTTTAGCTAACAGATACGCTGGATGAGACACAGTTTATTAAAGAACACTTCTCTAGGGACAGCTGGAGAGCACTGGCCTGGGAGTCTGTGCCTTCAGATCCTGTTCATTAGGAAACAGCTGGTGACTTTGAGCAATCGCCTAACCTCTCTGGGACTTATTTCCTTATATGTGAAAACGAAGAGAGGATCTGTTTTGAAAAAGTGGCATTAGATGAAGTTTAAGTTTCAAAAATTGGCTCTCAAAAGAAATTTCAATCGTTGTACTGTTGATATTTGGCTCTGTTGACTAATGAGTTTGCCGACCACTGCGTTAGATGATTTATTGAAGATCCTTCTGACCAGTGCTAGTTGCCAGACTTAGTTTGTTAATAATTGCTAGGTCAAGAGCTAACTTTGGAGTCCATTTATGGCTTCAAATCTAAGCTTTGCCATTCACTATCTGTGATCTTTACTCAACTGCCCTGTACCCCGGTTTCCTTTCCTGCTAAGGGAGGATAGCTGCTCTGCCTACCTCAGAGGGCTCTTGTGAAGATTAAACGTGTGCGGGAACTTGTTAAACTTTAAAGTGAAGCTGGAAGCAGCTCTGCGAGTTCTGTCCCTCCGGGTGCTGGCAGTCCTGGGGCAGAGGTCCTTTGGCACCCTTGGGTTGGGTTGTGCATTTATACAGAAATCTGGTGAGTAAACAAGGAAATAGGTGACAGCTCAGCACTAAGGGAGGCGTGCAGTGAGAGATGATGTGGACGTCACAGGCTGCCGCGCAGAGGTGTTACCTTGTCTTTTTTTTTTTTTTCCCCTGGAAGGGGGGGCAGTGGAGAGAGAAGGAGAATTCCAAATTGTTAAAATAAAAAAAAATACACTTATAGAGAATGGTAAAACTGTGAGGCTATCTTATGTATAGTTGGATTCTGGGAATTTAATAATTTCTTTATTCTATGTATTTTCTATAATAAGCATGTATTTTTTGAATCAGAAGAATAAAAATACTGGTCCATCTTTTTCTGCTTAATTTTTAATATTCATTTGATTAAAGAAACAATAAAAATGTTTTTGAAATTAGGATATGTCTTGTCTTCCAAATCAATGTTGGATTTCTATGATTTTCACCTATTTGTTTTGAAGGAACTGTGGAAACCATCCATTTAAATTATTTGGTGACATTAAAAAAGTTGGAGTTTTATGTGGTTTAAAAATTTTTTCATTACATCGGAGTGCTGACAAATTAGGATGCCCTCTAAGTTTGTTCTATTATCTCTCTTTCATTTAAAAAACATTTCAGCCCAGCTCGCATGGCTTAATGGTTGAGCATTGACCCATGAACCCAGAGGTTGCTGGTTCGATTCCTGGTCAAGGCACATACCCAGGTTGTGGGCTTGAGAGACTGCAACAAGCAGCCAACCAATGATGTTTCTATCTGTCCTTTTCCTTCCTCTCTCTATAAAATCAATAAAAACATATTTAAAAGGAAACATTTCAGAAATAGGTTCTTATTATTGACCTGTAAGTCCTACTTCCAGGAATACATCTGAAGACAACAATTGGACAAGCACAGAAAGACAGGAATGCACCTTATAGAGGTTTTTTTTTTATATGTATAATAGAAAATAATGTGAGCCAGTGTAGTCATACAAAAAAATTAATAACAGCATGGCTTGTAAGTCATGTTGTCATTAATGGGTACATAAATGTGTATGTTAAAAAAGCCTACAACAAAGCTATCTATATATTTTTCATATATATGTGTATATATATGACATTTATACACACACACACACACAACATTTATATGTTATAAGTACACACTCACACAAATCCCATATTTGGTTCGAAGAAAGGGATGTACATGACTAATGTGTGAAGAGACATCTGTCCATCGGTAGTTGTTGACTCCAGAGGGGGATTATGAACTTTCCCCTTTGACTTATTTTCTCATGTTTATACAACAAATTGTTAACTTTTTAAATATGGAAATATCTTTTTACACTTGAAAATAGTTTTGTTTAATAACTATGCAGGTTATGGACAAAGCATTTATTTAACAACAAAATAAATGTCATTGCTATACAAAAAGGATTTCCTAGTTTCATTATCAGTTGGACATATACTAGAAGACTTTAAATCCATAAGCAGATTGATTTTGAATATTGTTATTTTATCTTAATTATTTATTAAATATTGTTTTATTATTGATTAGCATAAGAACTAGCCTAGGTCTCTTGATTCTTCAACACCTCAGGTTTGTTTACTTTCTTTTTTTGTTAATGCTCTACTCTACTGTTGAGTCCCTGTAAATTTTTCTTTATTTCAGTTAGTGTATGCTTAATTTCTGACTGGTCCTTTTTTATGTCTTTGAAATTCTCAGTAAGATACCTGTAAGTCTCTCTAAGTCCCTGAAAGTTCTCATTAAGATCCTTGAGCAACCTCATAACCATAGTTTTGAACTCTGTATCCCGTAGTTTTCTTTCATTTGTGATGTTTCTTTGTCTCTGCATTTTGGCTGCTTCCCTGTGTTTTTTCTATAATATGTGCTCGTCTTAGTAGAGCTGCTATTCTCCTGAATTGGCCGAGTGGCCTCCATAGTAGGTGTCCTGTAGGCCCAGAGACTCAGCCTCTCCAGCTACCTGAGGTGGACCCTCGAGGCGGACACCTGCGTGGGCTGTGTGCACAGTCTTATAGGTCAAACTTGATTGTTGTTGGCATCACTGGGCGGAATTGACCTCCGTCAATTGGACTGCAGCGAGCTGCTGTGCAGGAGACACCACTACGGAGCAGGGCTTACTCGCTGGGGCTTCGGTGCTCACTGAGTCTGCCTCTTGGGAGTGTTGTGGACGTGTAGACTTGTAATCTGGTGTGGTCTGAAGCGGTCCACCAGGTGGACTGGCTCTGTGGCTTCCTGGGAGGTGCAAAGTCAGCCACTGCCTGGGGCCTCCCAGCAGGAAGTGCCCAGCAAGGCCCAGCTGTGAAGCAAGGCAGGCAGGTGCTAGTGCCGGCTTTTGGATCTTTCATTAATAGGTTTGGGGCAGCCTGAGCCAGGACAGGCCATTCATATGCAAAAACCACTGCAGAGAGCGTGGGTGGGTCTGCAAACTGGATGGGATGGGGCCTCAGGGACTCAGCCAGGCAGAGCAAACAGTGAGGGCCCGTCTGATGGAGACACAGAAATAGCTGCCAGTCAGCCCTAGAACGGGGAGGTCCAAGCATGGGAATAATGACCCGTATGTGCCCACTCATCTGGGAGAAAGCTGCCCGAGTTCCTGCCCCGGTCCAGGCAGTCCAGTTCCTCCCTGTACGTCCCTGGGTCCCCAAGAACCCGTCCCTGCACTGGAGCCCCGAGGGATCAAATCCCAGTAAGTCCATGCACCGGCCTTTTGAGAGGAACTGCTGGGTCCCCGGAAACCTCCATCACTCAGCCACAATTCCTGCTGTCTTTACAGCCCAAAAGTACGTGGACTTTCTTCCCAGCTCTGCAGCTCTGGGCTAAGGTGGCGGGCACCCTGGGAAAGAGGCCTCCCCCCCATCACCAGAAGCAGCAGCTTCTCATAGGGACTTCCACAGTGAAATATCCTCCCTTGATTAAAAAAATGCCAAAGAGGGTGTTGGACCGGCCTGTTCCATGCCTCCCCCCTCCATGTAGGAGAATGTCGTATTCTTAGGAGACACTTAACAAAGAATTTAGGAACAAAATGTCATGATGTCTGCAACTTACTTTCAAATGGTTCATCAAAAGTACATGTGAGCCCCGGCTGGTTTTCACAGTGGTTAGAGCACTGGCCTACAGACTGAAGGGTCTCAGGTTTGATTCTGGTCAAGGGCATGTACCTGGGTTACAGGTTTGGTCCCCGATCAGGGCAGCCAATCGATGTATCTCTCTCACGTAGATATTTCTCTCCTTCTGTCTCTCCCACTGCCTTCCACTCTCTCTTTAAAAAAACAAACAAAACAAAACAAACAAACAAAAAAAAAACACAATGGAAAAAATATCCTCAGGTGAGGATTAACAACAAAAATACATCTGAAGTCTTG